TGGCTCCTGGCTTTGGTTTGGTTAAGCTACGGACATTGCGGCCGCTTATGTGGAGTGGACCATTGGATGGAAGATCTTCTGTCTCTGCTTGTCTATATATCTGCCTTTCCAATAAAATAAATAAATAAATTTTAAAAATAAAAAAAGCAAAGTGGCTAAAGCAAGGGGTTGGTTTAATATATATATCACCCTTCCCTTTGAAGACATGTCGAAACTTTAATTTGGGGGTCAGGATTGTGGTATAGCAGGTGCTTGGACCCCTGTACCTTGTGTGAAACCTGGAAAGAAGCTCCTTGCTTTGGCATGGCAAACCCGTTATTGTGGCCCTTTGGAAAGTAAAGCAGCAAGTGGAAGACCTCTATAGCTCTGGCTTTCAAATAAAGTTTGACTTTGTATCAGGTAGAATAGTGAACTTAAGGTTATCCTAAAGAATCATCTTCTACAAAACAAAACTTGAATGAAATAAACAGACCTCTTTTTTTTTTTTTGTATGTGACAACTTTTTTGCTTTTAAAAACAAAAAATACAAAAATGTGATTCCCAAGGCTGTGGTGGTGGCCTGACTAGGGACTGGCCCATCCCCATCCTTGCCACTCCTGGAACCAACACTATTCCCCTTTTCTCAAGTTTTTTTTTTTTTTTTAAGCGACAGAGGGTAAACTTCCATCTGTAGGTTTATTCCTCAAATGCCTGCAACAGTTGGCATTCAATCAGGACTGAAACGAGGAGCCAGAGACTCAATCCATGTCTCCCTTGTGGACTCATAGGAACCCAGTTACATGAGCCTTCACTGGTGTCTCCCAGGCCAGCATGGGCAGGAAGCTAGAATAGGGAGCCAGAAGTGTGAATCATGTTTCAGTGTTGCCATATAGGACACTGGTGTCTATCAGGTGGCCCACACACCTTCTCCTTTTTTTTTTTTTTTTTAAGATTAATTTCTTTTATTAGAAAAGTAGGGTTACAAGAAGAGCCATCCATCCACTGCTGAACTCCCCAGATGGCCCCAATGGTCAGCACTGAGCTGATTTGAAACTGGAAGCCAGGACCTCTCCGGGTCTCCCACGTGGGTGCAGGGTCCCAAAGCTTTGGGCTGTCCTTGACTGCTTTCGTAGGCCACAGGCAGAGAGTTGGATGGGAAGCAGGGCCGCCGGGATTAGAACCGGCGCCCATATGGGATCCTGGGCGTGCAAGGCGAGGGCCTTAACCACTGTGCCATCGCACTGCCCCCCCCCTTTATTTTTTTAAGGCTTGTTTGTTTGGGGGCTGTGGTTTAGCAAGGACAGCTGCCACATGCAGCACCAGATTCTCCAGGGCACTGGGTTGTGTCCCTGCTAGTTTATGTCAGATTCAGCTCCCTAATAATGCAACTGGGAAGAGTAGAAGATGGCCCAAGTGCTTGGGCACTTGCATACCTGGGGGGAGTTAGAAGCTTCTGGCTCCTGGCTCCTGGTTTTGATCAGCCTCGCTCCAATCCTTACAGCTATTTAGGAGTGAACCAGCACATGACAGATCAATCTCTCTCGCTCTCTTCAAATAAATAAATTTTTTTTAAAAAAGATTTATTTTTCTAATTTGGTAAGTCAGATATACAGAGGAGAGACAGAAAGATCTTCCATCCAATGATTCACTCCCCAAGTGGCCACATGGCTGAAGCCGAGCCAATCTGAAGCCAGGAGCTTCTTCCTGGTGTCCCATGCAGGTGCAGGGTCCCAAGGCTTTGGGACATCCTCACCTGCTTTCCCAGGCCACAAGCAGGGAGCTGGATGGGAAGCAGGTTGGCCGGGATTAGAACTAGTGACTGTATGGGATCCTTGGTACGTTCAAGGCCAGGACTCTAGCCGCTACACTATTGCGCCTGGCCCAATAAATAAACATTTGTTAAAATAATTAGGTTAAAATTTTTGATTATTTGAAAATGTATTACTTCTTAAAGTTGGAGAGAAGAGCAGTCTTCCATCTTTTGGTTCACTCCCCAAATGGCCACAGTGGTCAGCTCTGGGCCCACTAAAGCCAGAAGCCACAAGCTTCCTCCAGGGCTTCTACATGGGTGCGGAGGCCTAAGCACTATGTCGCCCTCTGCTGCTTTCCCAAGCCTCTGGCAGAGAGCTGGATGGGAAGTGGAGCAGCAGGGACACCAAGCAGCACCTGTATAGGAGGCTGGTATTACAGGCAGTAGCTATACTAACTATGGCACAGTGCCAGCCTTCTTTCACTTTTTAGTTTAGGCATAGAATCTTTTCACAATGTATAATAGTCTTAAGTAAATAATTCTGTGAATTTATGTGTACATATACTAATGAACTGTGATAATCACCCAGATAAAGAATATAAATATTTACATAAAAACATTTACTATAATACATATTTACTAATATGTATTATATATTGTTACAAATGTGTGTAATATATAGATATGTAAATTATATATATCATATATATAAATATATACTCTAAAATCTTTTTAAAAAGGGAGTGAGATGGAGAATTGCAAGTCTTTAATAAGGAATATTCACTGAGATATAGTTTTGGGGCTCTTGTTAATCCAGTCTTTTGCAATGCTAAATTTTAATTTTTGTTAGACAAATTTACAGAGAGGGAGAAACAGAAAGATCTTTCACTCCCAAAATGACCACAAAGGCTGGAGCTGAGCTGTTCGGGATCCAGGAGCTTCTTCCCAATCTTCCTCGTGGGTGTAGAGTCCCAAGGACTTGAGCTATCCTCTGCTTTTCCCGGCCATAAGCAAGGAACTGGATGGGAAGTGAAGCAGCTGGGATACAAACCCACACCCATATAGGATGCCATCATTGGGAGGTGGAGGAATAAGCAACTGAGCCATTGTGTTGCTCCCCCCTCACACACACACACAACACTAAGATGTTTTAAAAGGGAGTGGATGAGATATAGTCTCCAATCTAAAATCGGAGATAAAGAAGCAAAATTTTGGGTTATCTTTGTTGGTGAGCAAAACTATACTTTAGTGCCTTGTCTTTGCTTGTCATTCTTGCCCTGCTTGGATGTCAGGAGCTTTGAGCTGAAGTTTGCTGGACATAAATAGAACCATCCCACTAGCAGCATGTTGGGAGCTGGGCCTGGTCAGACTGTGCATCCACATAGGAGGCCTCTCCCTTTGCACTCTCAGCCTTCCCATCACCTGTGGACACAGGCAGCTGCCACGCTGTCATCCCCTGTATTTTATTCCTTGTTTCTCCCTCTTTCCTTACCTGTTAGCGTCACACACAAGCACTTGGGGCCACTATGGTTTTTAGATAGATCTTTAAGAAATTACAGGCAGGGGGCTTGGCACGGTTGGCATAGCAACTGAAGTACTCACCTGGAACACATCAGGATCCCATTTGGGCTCCGGTTCTAATCCCAGTGACCCTACTTCCCTTCCAGCTTCCTTCTTGTGGCCTGGGAAAGCAGTCAAGGACGGCCCAGAATCTTGGGTTCCTGCACCCCTGCAGGAGACCTAAAGGAATTTCCTGGCTCCTGGCTTTGGATCAATGCAGCGCTGGCTGTTGCGGTCACTTGGGGAGTGAATCATTGGATGAAAGATCTTCCTCTCTGTCTCTCCTCCTCTCTGTATATCTGACTTTGCAATAAAAATAAATAAATCTTAAAAAAAAATTACAGGCAGGCCATAGGCAAATTTTTCCCTCTGTGAGATCAAATTGGTTCTAGTGGGAGACCTACGCCTGGACCACAGTTGACTTTGGCCGGCAGTTGCTTTAGAGAAATGTTTAGGGACCCACTGGGCCCTCAAACTGTAACTGTAAAGTTTCTGGTACAGTAAAAAGAACATAAATGAGCTTTCAAGCCAAATAGTCTGGGGCTCAAATCCTGGCTATGCCATTGACCGTGTGACCTCAGGGATGTCAGCTGATTGCCCGGAGCCTCAATCTTCTCATCTGTTAAATGAACTGGATTCTTTTCTTACGAGGTTATTATGAGGATTAGAAAATAGTTTGTATTCAGTGTCCTCCTTTGTACTATATAGTAACCTAACAAGCAGTTACTTAATAAAACAGAATGAGCAGTTAGTGGTTAGAAACCACTTCTGTGTTAACAGCTTGAAACGTTGATGATCAGGATGGTCACAAGGTTGTTAAGGCTGTAACATCTGGAGCCTTTTTGCATCATTGTTGACTGTCTTCTCAGAGGTGAATACTTCTGTCAGACGAACCCTGTTCTCAGTTTCCTAGCAGAATAGGATTATATTCTATATTTTTTGAACTTTGTGTCTGATGTGCCAACAAAGGACTGAGGCAAAAATGATAGTTGATTTTTTTTCCCGTCTCTCATTTTGGATAATGTGCAGATGTCAAGTGATGCTGGGGGAGCCCCAAGACCTGCCATTAGATGGTAGGATGGGGAGGAGTTCGAAGGCAGTGGCTGGTCCAGTAGCTTCTGAAGAAGGTGTGGGCTTGCTTTGATTCTGATTGGACTGGGAGTTTTGGCCCATGCCTGCTTAAGTGGAAGGTGCTTGTCTTGGTTGGGAAATGATAAGAACACTTCATTTTGGGGTGCTAAGTAGGATGTATTTGCCATGGTCTCCTGCAGCAGCAGTAGCACTGACATGGCCGGATGTGTTGGAGAGAGTGGGCTTGTAGGTTGTGCTGTTGCTCTGTGCCGTGGAGCTGGACGAGCGCCTCTAGGAAGCTGAGGGTAGTGTCTACAAGGAAAAGGAAGGGTAATGTGTTACGTTGGCATTGCTCATCCAGAGACACTTGAGGTTTCTGAAGAGTATAATTTCCTGCAGACCTTTCTACTTTCTGTAATTCTGTATTTTTCTGCACTGCTTAAAGCACTTCTTACTTCTGCCTGTATTAACCACAAGTAATCAGTCTGGTGGAGGGGTCTGGGGAGGTAGGGAATGGTAATTTCTGTAACAGCAGCCCTAGAGCAATCATGTGGGCAGGGGATGCCTAACCAGAAAATGGAGATTTGTAGCTTGCATTCTTTACTGGAAATAAAGTGCTCTCCTTATTCTCCTCCTGCAGGTCGGTGAGCTGGTAAAGGTTACGAAGATTAATGTGAGTGGTCAGTGGGAAGGGGAGTGTAATGGCAAACGAGGTCACTTCCCATTCACACATGTCCGTCTGCTGGATCAACAGAACCCTGATGAGGACTTCAGCTGAGTATAGCTCAACAGTTTTGCTGACAGATGGGAACAATCTTTTTTTTTTTTTTCCAACTGCCATCTATACAATTTTCTTACAGGTGTCAAAAGCAGTCTAGTTTATATATAAGCATTCTGTTAATACCTGTGATCTTTCTTCAATTGAACTACTCCATTCCTAGTCTTATTTGACCATATTCAGGGTACGAAACTGGAGGGTTTGAGGTTAGCTTGTGAATGAACAGGTGGTAGCAGTCATGCATGCCGTGTGCATCAGAAGGGTTAGGTGCATTGCCTCCGTTCCCTCAGGAACCTGTGGAAAACTCGTGGACAGGAGAGGAGTATCGCACACTGCTTGCCCTGACTTACTCAGCAGTTTGTGTGCGTTCTGAGACCACACTGTCACATGGCAGTAGCCTGTTGCCTTCCACCTCCGTGAATCATGCACCGTGTGAATAGTACCCAGTGGGATTGCTGTTCCATTCATGGATCGGGACCGTTGTATGACTCACTCTGACATTTCAAATCCTGAGAATTCTGAGAACACTACTAGAGGCATTTGTCTTCCTTCCTAGTCAATGCTTCATACTTTTTCTTGGGATTCTTTCAACCCTTGTCATTCTTGTTCCTCCAACTACAAATAGGTTAATTCTTAGATAAGTGTTTTCCTTCCTGATGAGAAGCAGAATGTGCAGAGCACTTGATTGAGTGCATAGCTTTAAGCCAGTATTGGACTCACAAAACGGACGGCCAAACCCCCAGCTCTCTGCCTTCCTCCCAGGGGTCAGTATGCTCACTCTGCTGCAGCAGCTGCCTACACTCCTGGCTTTTGGAGCCCAGCAGGGCTGTTTCTCCTGAGTGGCAGTGTTCTGTTTCAATTGGAACCCTCAGATTCTGTGTAGAGTGGAAGGACCAATCACTTAGAATATTTCTTGGAAGGTTTGGGGGCCAAATTCTGCCCTCTGTGTTATGTGCAGCTTGTATAAAAATGAAGGTAGAGCTACATGAATTTGAGGATAGGGTTAGCACTTTGAAAACTATTTGAACCAATCATGAATTACGTATGTATTATTCATTTCACATGGCTGGAATAGTTCTTAAAGTACATCACATTATAAACTGCCTTCATTTTTTTTTTTTCTTCACATTTGGTTTACAAACTCTTTAAGTATGAAATGGTTTATATGGGGTCAGATGCTCCAAAGAATAGACTATGAGACCAAAAATATTTTGGCTTTTTTGTCTGCCACCTGAAGTTAACTTTAAAAGTTAGGTCCAAGTCTATAAAGCACTTCCTGGTCTGTGGTGTAGAGTGACCAATGGAGACATCTTATACTTTGCTTTGGACCTCATTTTAGGAAAATCATGTACCTTTCTAATTGTCCTGTGCAGGTTAATGTGATGAGTTTGCTTTTTTTTTTTTTTTTAAACAATATGCCAAATTGTGGTATCCCAGTGACTAGCACATTGGAACACAGTTCATGTGCAGGTGTTTAGATGAGTGATTGAGGGGGATGCAGAAGCTTATTACATGACATAAGAAAGCTAGTTGGCACAGGACTACACACAGTATCGTAAGGAAACTAATGAGATAATGCTAATTTATTTTTACCTCACATTAAGGTAATGCTTGATAAAGATATTAATATTCAACTTTAAAATGTTAGCAAAGTGCTATGCACATGGTGGGTGCTCAGTAATGTCAAATGGACAGATTTGCAATGTTAGACATAATTCCATCTGACTCCTTTGTTAAATTTTCATTAAGAGTATAAATACTGTAACATTCAAATACACATTAAAACTTGTTTTCCTGAAAGTATGGCATCTAAAATATTTGTAGAAAAACTTTGTCACAACTTATTTGAATGTTTGTATTTTATTTTGTCTTTGACATTGCGTTGTAATATCTTCTTCATCTTATGTAATATTAGTGGAGTGAGCAACTCTTCCCAAATCATGAGACTTTCTCAGTGAGCAGTTGTCTGGAGCCTTTACGTGAACTGTTGGGTTGGATTTAGCTGTGTGTGGCGGTTGTTGGACCTCAAGAAATCAAAGGACTTCTTATTAGTGTCTTCCCCCCACCCCCCAAAAAAGTGCTAGACTTCCTGTTCAAGTGCTTATGTACATTGTCACAGAGCAAAGTAAACTGAAATTGGCTGCTATATTTTATATAATCATTTCTGCAAAAGCCCATTTTTTTGGATACTAATATTTGACATGTTTAATTCTTATTAATTTGTTGGAATTGTTTATTGTTAATAATGCAAATAGATAATTTTTAATTATCCACAAGTAATATTTCACTATTAATGGTTTGAAATGGGTGACAAGCAAACCAATTTGAAATAAAATATGAACATGTGCCATTGTATTATAACACTATACACTTTCTTGACAGTTAAATTTTAAAAAGTTTTTTTGTAGCATGTATTGTATATGTTTATAGTATATGTAGTAAATAAAAATATGGCCAAATACTTGGCTTGGTGATCTTTTGGAAAGAGTAATCTTTGAATGTTTTTCACAGAATCCTTAGTGCCTAGGGCCTAGTAGGTTTATATCCCCAGTAGCCTAGGAGTAGTCACATGATCAGAGAAACAACGACACGTTCTGTTGGGTGCTTGTCAGGTGGAATTAACCATTGGTAATGTTTTCTAGGGTCTCCAGACGACATGAAATACTGATTTGAGAAAAGCATAAGAAGAATCATGTGAAGATCTGGATGTTGGAGTGATGAGGACAGATAATATTAGACTTATGTACAAGTGGGTCTAGCTGGCATTGACAAGATGAAGATGAGGTCGGGGCATGCCAAGCAAGTGAGAGGTTTGGATGGTCTCCAGTAGGGCTTTAAATGTTAGCATAGAGGGCTATGATTTCTTTACTTTTGAGTCAGGGAGCATTTGCTCAGATAGTACAGGAAATACAAAATAAGAAATAGGTTAAACATTACTATATGTGTTGCCATGGTAGCTTAGATATTGATACACCTATAAGGAACAGGGTTGCTAGTTACTTATACAGTATTCTGCCTTGGGCTGTATATACAGCATGATGTCAGCACAAAGCTACACAAAGGAAATTAAAGGAATCCAACTTTACCACATTCAAGCATGCCAGCATGATGATTTGAGTGAACTTGATTTATCAATCAATAATTGACTTCCAGGGTGACTGCACACATCAGGTTGAGCTGCTGACTGGAAGCTTCGATCTCATGTCAGTATGCCTTGCTTCAAGTCCCACCTCTGCTTCCAGTCAAGCTTCCAGCTTGTGCTCAGGTACTTGAGCTCTTGCCACCCCATTGAGTTCCTGGCTTCTCATTTCAGTCTGGCCCAGCTCCAGCTGCTGTGGGCATTTGGGGAGTGAAACAGCAGCAGATGGACATAAACTGCCAAGATCTTGTTTGAACATGAATGTTGGTTCTATAGTCAGGTACTTACTCTAGCTCTCAGTTTGTGACCCTGACTTTCAGATTTAATTTATTTACTGGAGATGAGGTAGGGAGCTAGAGAAGTGCTAGAGGTTTTGTGGTATAGGAAAATAGAGAACAGGAGTTGAGTGTGTACACAGATGGCTTTAGTCAAAGACTATTCAGTGTTTCTATGGTCATACTTAGATTGTAGAAGTGTTGAATTCAAGTGGAATGGACACTTAAATGTTGAATTAACAGTTAAAGGTAAACTGGGTTTGATTGAGCTTTTCTATCCTTCAAAGTGTGAGATTTTGAACATTTTATTAAGAATTTTTTTAGATGTTTATATTGAAAAGATAGATTTTAGAGAAGAAGAGATAGAGAAAGATCTTCCATCTGCTGGTTCAATGCCCAAGTGACTACAATAGCTGGCACTGAGCAAGCCCAAAGCCAGGAGCTGCTGCTGGGTTTCCCATGCGGGTGCGGGGTCCCATGAGTTTGGGCTGTCCTCCACTGATTTCTCAGGCCACGAACAGGGAGCTGGGTGGGAAGTGGAGCAGCTGGAAATCAAACCAGCACCCATGTGGGATCCCAGCACTTGCCAGGTGGGGATTTAGCTACTGAGCCATTTTGCTGGGTCTTTTTATTTACTGAAAAAAAAAAATCAATATTTAAATGAGCTCTCAAATACATCATAGAACTGCCTTAGATAAATTATTGGTAACTGTGGAAAAAAAAAGATTTATTTGTATTGGAAAGTCAGATTAGGTTTACAGAGAAGTGTCAGGTTTACATTTGCTCACTCCCAAATGGGTACAGTAGCCAGACCTGAGCCAATCCAAAGCCAAGAGCTACTGCTGGGTCTCCCATGCAGGGGCAGAGTCACAAGACTTGGGCTGTGCTCCACTGCTTTCCCAGTTTGTAAGCTGGATGGGAGGTGAAATAGCTGGGGCTTGAACCAGCAACCATGTGGGATCTTAGCAATACAAAGGTGAGGATTTAGCCATTGAGCCATCGTGCTGCACCCAATTTGGGACATTTTAGCTTTCTAGAGTTAAGAGTGGTTGTATGAAAGGAGACATTTATTCAGCAGCCTATATTTGGGAAAACTTGGAGCTCCTAGCCTCATTCTAAGGGGCACGTGGCTAGTCAAGGCTAGGTTTTGAGCTCCAGCAACAGAGCTAAGAGATTTTGAGGTGAAGTCTAAGATGGGCATCTTGAATCTTGATGCTGGGGAAATGTCTACCCTTGCCACTAGCTAGGGGATGCCTCCAGAGACCCTTAGGGTGGTGTGGAGCCACAAAACAGCTGCTCCAAGTTGCTCTCCTTTGCCATTGGGTCCACCTTGCTCTCCTACCAGACGTCCAGCCTGACACCACAGGTTCCCAGTGTCCTGTAGCTGATTAACCTGTCTAGTTTTGCTTTGGCTGGTTATACAACATCCAGAGATCAACTCACAGGGGGTTACAGCAAATTAGACTTCATTCGTCATCAGTTTCTATCCATTGGGATTGAGCTATCTTATGAACCCAGAAGATAAGCCCCAGTACCAAAGAAAGGTTCTGCTTTATTTAAAAAAAATATTTATTTACTTTAATTGCAAAGTCACATATACAGAGAGGATGGAGAGAGAGGAAGATCTTCCATACGATGATTTACTCCCCAAGTGAGTGCAATGGCTGGTGCTAAGCTGATCTGAAGCCAGGAGTCGGGAACCTCCTCCAGGTCTGTAACACAGGTGCAGGGTCCCAAGGCTTTGGGCCGTCCTTGGCTACTTTCCCAGGCCACAAGCAGGGAGCTGGATGGGAAGTGGAGCGGCCGGGATTAGAACTGGCAACCATATGGGATCCCGGTGCATTCAAAGCCAGAGCTTTAGCACTGGGCCACCGCACTGGGCCCAAAGCTGCTACTTTAAATATGAAATGTTGGGCCTGGCGCACTAGTCTGGTGGCTAAAGCCCTTACCTTGCACTCCTGGCATCCCATATGGGTGCTGGTTCTAATCCCAGCTGCTCCACTTCCCACCTAGTTCCTGCTTGTGGCCTGGGAAAGCAGTCGAGAACAGCCCAATGCCTTGGAACCCTGCATTCATGTGGGAGACCTGGAAGAAGCGCCTGGCTTCGGATTGGTTCAGCTCCAGCTATTACAGCTACGTCAGGAATGGAAGATCTTTGTCTCCACTCTCTGTCTCTCCTTCACTTCAATCTTACTTCCAATAAATGACTCTACAAAAAAAAAAACATTAAAATGTGTGTGTATATATATTATAAAAATCAAGTGAATATGAAGGGTTATTTGACTCCATATTTTGTGGCTCTTCCGCTTTTAGGGCTGTCAGAGTGATGGAAACTAAGAATCGACAGCATTTTGAAACTTTTTATTTGGAAGGCAAAGGAACAGAATTGTTAGATCTGCTAGTTCATTCACCAAATGCCCATGTGAGTGGCAGGCGCAACCAGTCTGCTACCTCAGTGGTGGACATTGGCAGGAAGCAGGGTACGAAGTAAAGGCAGGACTTATTCCCTGGCTTTCTGATATGGAATGCCAGCATTCCAATTAGTGGCATAACCTGCACCGAATCACAGCCCAGAATTCTAAGTGTGGTAAGTGTGGAAAGAAGAGGAAATGAAATTACCTGGGTTGGGCAATTGACAAGAGAGACTGTTGGGTCTGAAATTGAAGTGTTGTTTTTCCTTGCAATTTCAGCTTCCTGCTAATGTATACCCTGGGAGGCAGCAGGTGATAACCCAAAATGCTTGGGTTTCTGGCTTCAGTCTGGCCACAGCCGTGATTGTTATGGACATGTAAGGAGTAGAACAGCTGCTGTCTCTCCCTTTCACATAAACATTTTACAAGGAAGAAAGTGCCTATTTAACATGCATTGGAGCCTCTGGTGACTTAAAGGTAAGCATTTGACCAGGCTCGAAGCATAAGGAATGCAGATAAAAAGTGATTTAAGGACTGGCAGAATAGCCTAATGGCTAAATCCTCACTTTGCCTGTGCCAGTATCCCAGCTTGGTGCCAGTTTATATCCCAACTGCTCCACTTCCCATCCAGTTCCCTGCTTGTAGCCTGGGAAAGCAGTAGAGGCTTTGGGACTCTGGTCCTGTGTGGGAGACCTAGAGGAAGCTCCTGGCTTTGGATCAGCTCAGCTCTGGCCATAGTGCTCACTTGAGGAGTGAACAGAAATGCTTTCTCTCTGTCTCTCCTCTTTTCTGTAGGTCTGTCATTCCAATAAAAGAAAAAAAAAACAGTTACAGTAATTTCAAAATATGTACTTTAAATTTCAGACCTTTCTTAACAGTTCTGTTGTGCACAATTGCACAAGGTGGTGAATGCTAACTCGCATGGTGTCTTAGTTGGCCACCTGTTCTAGATTCCTGCCCCATATCTGGGTAACCACAATGTGTCAGATGCCCCTCCAAACATTTTTGTATTGTGCATTTTCATCTCGAAAGGCAAGGCAACGGAGAGAGCTTGCATTGTGACAGGCTAGAGGCAGAAGCTAGAAGCCACAAGGGTTTGAGCCATCTGCTGCCTTCCTGCAAGAAGCTGAATTAGAAGCTGAGTAGCCAAGACTTGGAATAGTTCTTATATGGGCTGGAGTGGCATAAATGATGCATATTGTTTATATATATATATCTTTGTATTGTGTAATGTTCCTTTTTTGCCAATTTTTTTAAATATTTTGTATTGGAATGGCAGATATACAGGACGAAGGAGATACAAAGAGAAAGATTTCCATGTCCACTGGTTCACTCCCCAAGCTGCCATAGTGACCGAAGCTGCACTGATCTGAAGCTAGGAGGCTCTTCTGGGTCTCGCACAAGGGTACAGGATCCCAAAGCTTTGGGCCATCCTCGACTGCTTTCCTAGGCCACAAGCAGGGAGCTGAATGGGAAGTGGAGCTCCCGGGATTAGAACCAGTGCCCATATGGGATCCTGGCATCTTCAAGGTGATGACTTTAGCTGCTGCACTATTGCACCGGGCCCTATGATTTATTCATTTTAAAAGGTTTAACAGACCCCTATCTGCAGCAACTTTAGAGAGCA